TATTTATAGCACATAGGTTATTTATAGCACATAGGACACAACAGTGATAAGATGAAATCAACTTGACTAGTTTACTGTACATATTAGCCCAGTTGCATAAGGTTTTCTCCAAATGTCATCTAGGAAGACCAATTCAGAAGAAAACCATCCTTAAAAAGGAATCAGCAATGGCTTAAATGAAATAAAAACAATCAGCAATGGCTTAAATGAAATAAAAACAATCTCTAAATCAGCAAGACTAACAGATTTTATTAAATATTAATCATAGCTAATTTTTGCTGGCCGCCTTTAAATGTGTAAGTAATTGTATCGGTGCAGAAAGGAATCAATACATTGGAAGTTCACAGAGCAGTTCTCAACGAATTCTCAAGAAATATCCTCACAAAGTGATCCATGAGTAACCTCTGGAAAGAAGAACTGCATGTCACCCTGTACTGAGATAATCAGTTACAAATGGAAAGACACATGTATGTCTTCACATGATTTGTATGCCATTACCTTCCTTTGCGCAACTTGCTTTAGCTAACAAATCTTTTTTTCTGGAAACGAATAGAGTTCTTTGAAGCCTGGATTCCACTTTCTGTTTTTTGTCAGTAAACTACAGCAGATCTGCACAACACTGTAGTGACTGGTAGGTCAGCAACTTCCCCCCAGCCCAGGGGAAGGAGGACACACACTCACACCAGAAGCAGGCAATGGGCAGTCCTGTACATCTGTGGCACGCAGGTGGGCAAGTGGACCCCTGCTGTGATGGGGGCAGGAAGAGCTGCAGACAGCCCAGCGCTCTCTCCCTACAGGACAGGCTTCTGCACCAAGTTACTTTCCCACACAGCTGATGAAAGGAAAAGTGGGTGTCTTCCCTGTGAGATTATTGGTTTTGAGAAAAAAAGTGTCATCCTGGAACGGGCATTATGGCCAAAAGATATTTCTAGTTAGTTATTATTGACTGCATTTAATTGTTTGGAAACCTCCTCTTTAAAGATGGCTTTCAATCCTTGCCCTTCAGTGAAACCAGCAACATACCATGAAGATTACAGCATACTAGATACAATCCAATATAAACAGCATTTTTATGAAGTAATCTCTTGCAGGTTATATATCAGATATTTAGAAATAAAAATTTATCCAGGCCTTTAAAAAATGACTATAAGCAAGCTAATTTAACCAGCAGCGTTTAATTCTGCTTCCCTTTAGCATTCCATAGCAGAGACACAGCAGCAACCAGTTGCAAAGCATCTGTGTCTAGCTAGCACAAAAAAGAAAGGGGGAAGTGTTCTCTCAACTGTGAGGCAGCAGCATTGGCAGGCTGTGTATTTCCCAAGCAGGGATCCGTTCCTTATGCATTTACTCTGATTTGGCAATAGCCCTTTGAATGGCAGTCCTATTACATTCAATACTCTTGTTCTTGCACTTTCTTAAAGTTCTAACAGTCCCTCATGTCAAAGGGAAAAGAAGCTACCATTGGGTCTGGTCTCCTAGATCTTTGGCACTCAAAAAGATGCAAAAGGCTAACTGACCTTAAAGCTGCAATCTAAAACCTGGGATGCTATCCATTTCCTTTGACTCATTTGGTAGCACAGCTACAGCTAAAATTCTAAGAGAAGATAAAAATCCACTTAAGATCAAATTTTAGTAGAGATGCCTCTCCATGGCAGTTCTTCCCCATGGAATATTGGAACAGATACTGCTTTTTTTTACTAGGAAAAGCAAACAACATGTTTAAATAGGTTAAGGGTGGAAAGGGGTTTAAATTTGGGAATAAATCATAATTAATTCTCTTTATTGGCTTCCATCTTGATTCTTCTAATAAAACTCTCCCATGTATAAACTACATGCAAATTCTGTATTGCTTGGGGCTGTGTAACCTTTTCAGAGATTTTTTTTTTTTTTTTTACAAAGAAAAAGCAAGATTTCCTTTCAATGTTAAGTGCAAAGGAGTTATTTATTGCTTGTTATGTCCACAGAAACAGTATATATAAATGCTTGCTGTTTCATTTCATTGAAAAAAGTCTCCTTACCTAAAGCTAAAAGATGCCTTTTGATCTAGTAAAAATCCTTATCTGAATTTGCCAGGGAATTCAGCAGAAATACTGAGGATGCAGTTTTAAAGCTACAGGGCTGCAGTTCTGCCTTCACTGCTTATTCCCAGCTCTTCCCATCTTCTGCCTGTGTCTGGCACTAGCAGTCACGCACTAGCAATTGTGAGTTATTTCAGGAAGCTGGTAATGATGAACATTAACCTGGAAAGTGATCTTTTCTGGCCAAACCAGCTCCCTGAACTGGCTTGCCATATGGTCCCATGATTATCAAGAGTGGTTCAGGGGCAGGAACACAGCAGTTGAGACTTGGGCTGGCTTACGCTGCAAAGTCACATTGTAACTTGCTTTCACTCTTCTTGGACCACATACTCCTAATCCCAATAGCCTCAGTGCTAGCACTTGTAGTTGTGGGGCAACTTTGCTCCACCAAGGTAGTCTGCAATCATCTGTAGATCTTATGGCTGGCACAGCCACTAGGAAAAGACACAAATGAAGCAAAAGCATTTTTGTGGCAGAAAGCAGAAATTTCACACATCTTAGTGATGTGACTGCAGAGAGGTTCTTACCCTTTAATGTGTTTTGATAAAGAATGAAAGGGGGGCAAAAACCTTTCTGTCGAAGTTAAACTAGTCACAGCACCACCAGAGTGAACTGAGCACTAACCAGCAACGCTTATCAAGGTTATTTTCACTTTATTTGATAATGTTCCTGACAGTAGAATCTCCTGTGTATGCTCCACTACACTTATATTTTATGGCCTATGTTGCCACATGTCCTCCCTCTGTTTCCTAAGTGTACTCCCACACAACCCCATAAAATCACATTTTATTGCTTATGTTACATTTCTTGTACATTGTACACATTATGTTTTCCAAGGTGATGCCAGCAGTCCCAAGGCTAGTCCACAAAGGTTAGACTCCCGTAGCTCTCTCTATAGCCAGCTCCAAGGAGATGACGACCTGCTGGCACTACCACATCCAGTTCAACTTCCCCAATAACATGTCCTCTGTGCCCCCTTCTCCATGTCAGTGCTAATGTTTGATCCTTGATGAAACCACGTTGGGGAGCTCAGTTACTAGAAATCCCCACCCCTTTTACCCAAACAAACCCAAAACATAACCCCCCCACAAAAAAACAAGTGAAGAGTTTCTACTGGTTCATCTGCCCGAGGATCAGAGAAATGCAAATTTGATAAAGACAGGGGTGGGAACAGAGACTGGTAGAAAGAAAACCTCAGATCATACTCCTGGAACCAAAGCTAAGTCAACTATGAAAAAAAAAATCCATTGGAATTTGGGCTTCCTTTGTTCTCAAGTTCATGCAATCTAATTTCCAAACATAATATGCAGCTTAAGTAAAAGCATAAATTAAAAACAAATCATCGCAATTTAAGATGTTTATATTTGTAGGACAGGTAGAAAATCTTTTCATTTCTTTGGTCTAACTGTAGCAGCATAGAGAGAAATCCATCACAAAGTGAATGGTGCCAGAAGATTCAGATTTTTAACAAGGTCTCTAAATAGTATCTTTAAAAACAGAACAATAAATACTTTATGCAGTAATTCTGGAAAACGTGCACACTTTCTTTTGGCTCAGTGCACACATTGCAACAGCAATTCATTAATGTTTTCCAAAAGCCAAAATATTAGAAAAATGTTAGCACACCAAAACATAAAAACAACACATAAGAACAATTTGCTTTAAGTACTGCTGGCAACACAAAAGGAAAAGACAGACGGATTCAGGGACTGGCATCATGACAAGAAGAAACACTTTTTTGTGAAAGTCTGAGATCAAGTGAACAAAATACTTTGCAACAAAAAGCAAAATAAATCAACAGTCATCAACTGCAAGAGTTATCAGGTAAAGTTAAAAGATTGCATTTGTCTGAAATTCAGAGTAATCATCACAGTGGCTGAAAGTTATTGGACCTTTCCCTAGAATATCAGCTCAAAGTTCCTCCAGGACCTCTCTAGCAACAGCACATCTCAAAATTATGCTATGCTGTATACATAAACTCTTTCTTTCCTTGGTGAAATATGCAGTTTCCTTCTCATACTTTCATTATATTTTCTGAAGATAACTCTTGAGTCCTGTTACGGCTAGAACCTTGTAACCAACTCACTGCCAGAAGATGGCAAGTTATACGCTCCTGTCCCCAAACCAGCAAATAATCTAAGGTCAAAGATGAATTTAAGCTCCAGGGTCACTAGGTTTTACAGTAAAGTCACACACAGTATAACAAATTCAGGAAAATGTGGTGTGCAACGTTAGATATTTTTTCTTCTGTGTATAGTTTAATATTATGTAAGAGGGTGGCTCATTTGAAAAAAGCACACACAATGGTAAGTGAAAAAGAAGCAGCTTCTAGAGGTTAACAATGAGATTTCAAATAATGTGGTTTTGTACGAAAGAAAGTACAGTTCACTGTAACAGAAAGCTCCCTTCATCTGCAGAACCATGATAGCTATAATTTAACAGCACTGCAATAAGACGTCTACAGATAATAAGGCCCCACGCTCCCCTTTGGCTCTCTGATCTCTACAGCCTGTGCATTTTACATCCACAGACCAATCTTCTCCCATCCTGCCACTGATTTTGTCCAGGTCATTTGAAGATTTGCATTAAAAATAAAAGTTTAAAGTGACACCTGGCAAAGCTAAACACACAACAAATGTGGTAACATGTTTTGTGTGACAAAGCTATACTTAAATGAAGTCCTACTTTAAAGGCCTGCATACACACAAGAATTCTCCCATTCCTTAATTCAATCTTGTTTTGCAGAACATAGCTGCATTTTAGACTGAACTGCACTTCTTAGTCTCCTGCGGCTTTTATTTCAAGTTACTGTAGTAGCATACAAGGTCAGTTCACATACATGCATAATTTAACAGAAGTTAAACTATTACGCATAACTAAAAATCATTATGTTAGAAACCTGTCATAATTAGTTAAGCTCACCTCTTTATCCATACTCTCTAAATCCTCTTTACATAGGGTGTACAGGGGCATTGTCTCAGACATACTTGGCTGGCGTTTCCGCTTAGATGGACCAGGTTGCTCTTCATTTTCACTCACTGGTAGGTCGTCTTCTTCAAACATCTGCTGCTGATGTGGTTGAACAACTCTGAAAAATTTCAGGGGTCCCACATAAGAAAGATTTACTTGATTTACAGCTTGTCTAGAAATAAAAACCTATAAACAATTTACAACTGCTGAATATCTATGACTTTGCTTAATAGAATTCTGTGTTTATCAACACAAGATCAAGTCTCCCAATTATTGCTTTTATTTTCAGTCTGATGGCTTAAGGTCTTATTCTGCCTTTGACAAGGTACTCACTCCCCTTACCACTTCTCTTGTAAGCAACCATCAGACATTTCTTGAAGCCAAGAGTTTCAGTAGCTGCAGATGCATTGCCCTTAAAATACATTAAGGTTTGTGCTCAAGCAGAGTTCATCCCTCACTTGACACATTTATCATTCAGGAAACCATTCTTGCTTTCTAATGTTTTTCCCGATCTATGTTATGCTTGTATTCTTGAGTATCAAAGTATACCTTTCTATTTCTCAACCTTACAGACAAGAGGTTTGCAAGTAAAAAGCATGTTTCTGCAGCTTCAATCTTCAGATATTTCCCAGATGCTAAGCCTGGATGAGATGCAAAACAGACCATATTTCTTTTTGGGCTAGCATATTCAAATATGGTAGCATTTTCTCTTAGTTTGTGTTTTATTACCTTGTCAGTTACTGTATTTAACCAGAACATACAGATATGAAAAGGAATGTCAAAGTGCTCATAAAAATGGATAAAATAGTCATAACTTCATGGGAATTGCTTTATAATAGTAATAAAAAGATAGACTACATCTAGAATAACAGCAGGAGTCTTCTACCTGTCTTGGGTAACTTTTTTCTGTAAATATTACTTAACTATTATAGACCTGGAGAAACTAAAACTGCTACACAATACAATGGATATTGAGCTGTCACACAAACCTCCTGGAACACATTGCTGCAGCTCAGCACGAACCAGAATCCTGTTCAAAGATCTCGGGTCACAAAGCTCATGGATCACAGATTATTTATGTTAGCCACAAGACTCTCTGTGTGTGGACTGATTACCACAAGCAAGCATAAAAGTGAATGTATTTGACATCACAAGCTGTTCCAAGTTGTAACTACCAGGTGAGACACTTGACAGCTTCTTAAGAAGGCCATCTAAATATCAAGATTTTTTTCTACATCAGTACTTCAATCCCAGAATGTATGAAATCTGAAAGCCACAAGAAGCTGTCAATCAAGCTCATTTTGAGGGCTCATATTTCCTAAACATGGATCTCTCTCCTCTCAGATCCCATGGGTAGGTGCAGGAGATGTTAATTCATTTTTTGAATTGGGGGTGGTGGGGGAAGAGAGCCAAGCCATAGCTGTGCTACCCAGAACTGTGCTATCTGCTGCAGAAGACCCCCATCAGCTCAGCACTGCTCAGCAACAGAGCAGAAATGTTCCCTTTCACTGTTTGTCATTTCTGCACACTAGAATTTCCTATGAACCCATAGCAACAATTTAGATGTTGTGGAAATGAACTAACCAAACTGGTTTTTTGTTAGAGATTTTCATCACAGCTTAAGAGGTTTGGGGCTTTTTTTTTCCTCTGCTAATTTTTTTCTATTTTACAAGACCACACAGTTATCTTTTGCTATTTAACTGCTCTCGGACAGTAATTTTCACAGGTAAAAGAGGGAAAAAAAAATTACAGCATTCTACTATATTTTCCAAAAGGCTGTTTTAAAATATGATTTCCATGCCTTTTTAATAGGTACCCTAGCCAAGAGAAAAGTGGTGATGCTATTTACATTCTTACTAAAACAGAGAATGACAAAATGTATAAGCATCTTAACACAACTGCATTAAAAACATGACAAGCTTGACCATGCCAGGAATTATACCCAAGTTATATGTAGCAGGCAGCCAAGTGTATTTCTCGTCTAAGAAAATCTAACTAGTATATTCTTCTAAGAACACGTCACTATACTGCTGACAGCAAGAACTCTACCTTTTACAGTTTCTGTATTAGTGTATTCTTATTTATATTCTTTATTTGAACACTTTAGAGAACACCATGCTCACCTCAACCTGTGGTAAAGACAGGAATTATTTTGCATCATTATTAAAGAAAAACTGTATTGACAGTTTAATTCTGGAGATACTGCATCCAAGACTAGGCACAGCTATGAACTTCTTTACTCTGAAGCAATAATATGCAGAAATACCATAAGTCTCAGATTAGTCTTGAAGACTCCACTAGTGTTAAAAAAAATAAGCCCCCTCAAGAATAAAATGGGAGATCATCCTTGACCACATTATTATACACAAATATTAACTGTAAAATAACTGTACTAATAGCTTTTAAAGGCTTTTTCCAGATTTTCTTCCCAGTATTTTCCAACTGCTACCAGATAAGAAACACTGGGACTTCTCACCAAAGCATTCCAAAAAGCAATATAAAACAAAGACTTCTTTAAAGTTTGTAATAAACATTTTTATTTTATCAAAGACATTTTTCAGGCTTTACATTTTCAGCTGCTTGTTACGTTGATTAAAATGTAAAGACATACAAATGCAGGAATTTACATTTATTTTTAATCAGATGATATTCATGAGTACTTTTTCAAAAATAACATCATATTCAACCCTACACAGGTTGGTTGGTGCTTGCCAGTCTCACAGGCACAAAGACATGCACATTGGCTAGAACTTGCTGCATGCAGACTGGGCTCAACATTTGTGGAAAGTAGCAAGCATCTTAGCACTTTCATTGATACAGCATCAGGACAAAAGCTAAAATAGAATTATCATCATAAAAATGTTAAAAATATTTAAATTCCAATGATGACTTCAATTTGGTACTTCCTATTTTTGCTGTCATAACAAGACTGATAACATTAGACAGGAAAAATTCTAACAACGAACATATAAATTAAGACAAAAATTTCATAAGTGAAATTAATTTAAATTAATCAAATAATTGTTTCAGCCACCATCATCTGCTTGACACACCTTTTCGAACCAAACATTTGGTGCATCTTCGCATTATTTAAAACAAGAGTGCCACTTTTAACTTCTCATATGTAAATTATATCCATATTTAAGCCTTGTTTTATCTGTTAGTGTATTAGCGTTCACTAGAATTTGACTTGTAATATTATTTTTTCTTTAGTCTAGTCCAAGATGCCATTAGCATTTGCATTTTTTTTGACAACACTACATTACACATCTCATGACCTGTTATAACTTCAGTGTTTACTGTAATGTTTGTATAATACTGTTTTCCCTATGAAAATGCAAACTGTTGAGATACACACAGAGTGTCAAAGCTCTGACATGCAGGTTATTTTTAAAGAGGAATCCTTCCTGTTTTCAGAGAGAGGAGAGCTCCTGCTGGCTGCCAGCAGCCAAGAAGCAGCAGTACATTCCCTTCCCTTCCAGTACAGCTGCAAACCCCTTGCCACCCTCCCGCTCAGGCTGCAGCAGCCATGTCAAAAAGCAGGTGTTCCAGTCTCATAGAGCCAAGCACAATGGCAAGATCTATGCCTGCCACACGAAACGTTAGCCAAACTAACAGAACCACCTGCAATTAGCTGGTGACAGTTTCACTGTAAATTGCGTTTATCATATCCTATTTTAAATTATGTTTCAAGTTGAATCCCAGAAAGAAACTAAAAATGTTGAACCCAAAATAAAAAAAGAGAACTTAAACAGTTCTTAGGAAATAGTACTTGGATAATTTGAAGCCCTTTTCAGTAATCTCAGCCTTGCAAGAAGTTATCTTCTAAGGTCTATTCTTACAGAAAGAGACTTAATACCATTGCTATGCCACATGTGGCTACCATCTTCCTAAGGGTTTCCTCTTGCAGCAGTGCAGTTTTGTTGCCCACTGTCTGAAATTCAGAATCAGATGAAGTTTTCAGAAACCAAAGAATATTATTGGAGGCTTTGACTACATCCACTCACAACAGGAGCAGTTGTGAGTGTTAACAGCTTTATCTAACTCTGCTTAAATTCAATGGTTTGCTTACAAATACTCTCATCCTTCCTGTAGGAGGTAAACATATGAGCACATGAAGTCAGTCAGGACAGAAAATATGTTGCCCTCTACCAAGAAATTGCTGTACCAAGGTAATTTTCTCTAAAGTCAAGTATGACATCAATTTTTAAATTGGATGTGAAGCTTTTTTACAAGCTATCATTGATGTATGCATTAAGACAAAGCTCAGGTCTTACTCAGTCAAAACACAGCAAAGTTGTTCTTATTTGGCTTTTTGTTACTTCTTTGCAGCCTTTGTGCTCTGCTTGCCCTGTACTTCCTATTTAATAAAGTACTTAAAGCAGTATTTGATCACTGCACTGCTTTCCTCCTGGACTTTACCAAGACTAGAACCAAATCAACAGGAAATGATGATGAAAATACTATTTCCCAGCATATAACCTATGCTAATCTCTTTTCTTACAGCTGCTTAGTTATGGGGTGAAATTGCAGCACTGAGTAATTGGATTCACTTTCTTAGACTAAAGAATCTCAACCCTGAGCACTGATAGTCAAAAAAATGCTTAAGTGAAATAAAGTAAGGGAGTAGAGAGGAGATATAGTCTTGCTCCACCCCCAAAACCTGTCTGGGGCTCTGAGAAATAAAACTAAGAGGACAGCTGAAGTATATTCCTTTCCTTTTTCAGAAGATGTTCAAGTGAAGAAGCACCTCTGCATTAAAGAAAAATAGGCTTAGGTGTGGACATAAGTCTTCATTAAGCTGTTGACAAAGGTAGAACAAACATCTAAACCTATTATTTTTAAAGCATTGAATGATGCATTAATATCAACACAAACCATCATATAGAAACGTCTTAGAAGCATCATGACAATTATATACATGTACAACTTTCCCAGCTCTATTTCTAGACATATTCCTTTCCACAATAACTGACAAAGCCAAAAGCTTTTCAGCTCCTCTCTAGATACATGCTGTGTCTTGATTATTTAAAGGTTTTCCTGTTCATTTAACATGTCATAGTAAAGTAAAATACATACACAGTTAAAAAGGAACTGAAAACAAGATGTCTTCACAAGCAAGAGAGACTCAGAAAACCTGTGTTGACAGAAAGAAAGAAGCTGAAAGAAGAAAAAGCCTATAAAAAGATGACAACTGAAAAAACCAGATTGAAATAATTTAGCAACAGGAAGATAGATTAGAAACATAACAAGTTACGCTAATATACAAAACCTTTACAAGTGATACACTGCAAAAGTGGCGGGGGAGGGATAAGAAAAGTAGAAAACCGTGTGCATTTATAATCATGCTTTGTATTTTTGTAGTTGCTTGGAAAACTGAATTGCTTTATAGTAATTGCTATACTCTGATCACATTGTTCAAAGGAATTTTGATCATCTTTTATAAAGAGAAAAGCTTCGCCTTCAAATGGATACTTCTTTACCACTGGAGTCTACAAACCTTGATAAACTTGTTACCATTCTAGAAAGCTAGATTTTTACGTAGATTCTTAGGGATGAATTTTAGATATTTTATGCATCCTTAAGAGACAAGTGTTGCCCTTGTAGCTTAACCAAATCCACAGATTTTGACAAAGTCCAGATGCTAGCCTGTGTACTTCAAAAAAGCAGGCTGCCCCCTCCTGCTGCTTCAGTGTGTTGATTTAGTGATCTAAGGATTATTAACTAGCACTCAGTCACATGGTCTTATTCAATAATACTCAGTTAGCTACACCCTTCTTCCACCACTTCTGATATTCCTCAGAACAAAACAGAAAGCTTGTGTCCCATCTGAAAGAATTGGGTCTAGAGGAATATTTTATAAAAAAATGCTCTCAGATACAGACAAAAAACCAATCCAGTATTCTAAGACTCGTTAAAAAACACTAGGCTGCCTCACTTCAGAGATAAGTTATTCTAATATTCTTTAGAATGCATAAACTACATGCTGCATTTATTCTGAGGTTTCTAGTGGCACTTACATGAGGCACAAAAAGCATCTGGAATTCTAACATTCAGATTTCACTTCAGCTGACTATTCACTTTCCTTGGCTTTTTAGAAAGCAAACAAAGTAATTAAAGCAAAGGTGACAATTTGATCAAATGCAAAGATAACAAGAGTTAAATTTACTACAGCATTTGAAAATATAGTGGAAGTGACTCTTAGCTATGCTTTAGGTACCTGAAGGACGAGTGTTCGCCGTGAACTGGTAAGGTGATGGGAGGAGCTGGAGACTGGATGTACATCGACTGGCCAGAGGTCTGGGTGCCTTTCCTGATTAGCTTTCCAGTGTTAGGATCATAAAGCCGAACTTCAGGACCAGGTTGAGTCTTTGGATGGATGGGTGTAGGGTGAAACAGAGCTGTCTGAAATGTGCTGTGTGTATCAGGAAATGTGGCAGGGCTGTTCTCTCTGTTGGATGAAGTTCAGAAAAAAATGCTTTAGAAATTTAAATGAGCTATCCAACCAGAATGTAAAAAAAATGAGCATTCCTTTTTTCTAAAGGAGGACGTGGGGGGGGAAAAAATAGTTTGGAAGACTTCTTCAGAAACATTTCTTCTCCCCCATCCCCATTAAAGTCTCACTGAATTTAAAAGACAAAAATGCAAAGACACAGATAATAAATATATTTACATTATTAGAAAATTATGGAATGTGTCCTAAAATGTGTCTTAACATATAAAGTTACTGAAATTGGTTCCCAGTATAACAACTGCACAACTAGAATAGCATGATAAACTGCATATATGCAACAAAGAGAAAAGCACACTGTTCTATCAGATCATAGTATTTGCTCTCCAACTTGGCTCTACAGTATCTTGTCATGAGTTATTTTAGCCATGGCACTTTCCTAAAGGGGACTGTTCTTAACAGCCTTCTGACTTCCTCTGTGTTAATAAAGTTTTTGGCTGTCCCTTCTATTAGCTGTCATTCTAGCACGCTGATTATTTTTAACCCTTTCTCCTTCAACACTTTTTCTTATCATGCCAAAAACTCCTGTTCTCTCACTACCTACTTCTTCCAGTTTTTGCTTCTGCCTTCAAGCCTTCCAACCCCTCTTAAGATTTTTCTGCTGTATTTTTCTGTTTCTCTCTTCCTCCTCACTACCAAGTCTCAGAAAAAAGTGCCATACTTCACCAATTTCTCATATTGTGGGAACATTTTTTATTTCATTTGGCAGCATGAATGAACCTGCACCTTGGTGGCACTCCCTGTGTTAGTTTGTGGATGAACTGGCCAGGTTAACTGCTCCAGCTGAAGATGGCTAACAATAACAACTGCTGAAGAAACTACTGGTACCACAGGTTTCTGCTGATTCTGCTAGCTGCTGAACTGCCTCCTGATCCCTTAAAAGTCTTCAGTTTAAGCAGCATAGAAATGGACAAAAATGGAGGGTTCTTTCATAAAATCTGTAAACATTGCACACCATTCTGAGTTCGTCATAAACCGATTTTATAGCTGCATTAACAAATTAGCATAATTGTGTGAATAACCTATTTTCATGGCCCCTATTCCCCCAAGTTCCCATTTACCTGTGTGTCTTGATGTAGTCATCGGTTTACAACATGGAGGTCCTTGCAGTCCTGAGCTTGCCGTACTTTTTCTGTGCCTATTACAAAGTCAAACATAACATTACAGTGGTCCCAGAAACACAAAAAGTAGCTTTAAGTACACATTTGTTTAAACAGAACATTTTGTGATCAATCTTACAGGAAAAACAAACACCCCTCCCCAATCCAACAAAACAATCACAACTGATAAAAGTGAGACTCTAAATGAGATGCAATAACTTCAGTCTCAAGCTCAACGAAGGCATTTGTAACTTCCTGAAGCATTGGTACCATGGAAGTAGTCCACTAAAATTAATCCATATGGAAAACCTCCATGTTAACTAAACAAACAAGACAAATGCACTTTTGTATTTCATCTCCTTCATTTCTGTTTGTCAGAGTCTAAGCAGCGGCAACTCTTCAATGCCATTAAAGCCTAACTAACTTACCATACTAACTTTCTTATGCACAGCCCCCTGTACACACCGTATGCTACCTTCTAACAGCAGCCACCCACTCAACCTCCATTTGCCAGAAGCGGGGGCAAAGCGGACAAATAGATTATTTCATGCCAAAGGGGAACAATGAATGTGAAATTAAACGAGGCAGGCTAGCACAAAGGCCACATGAAGCCACCTATAATGCAGCATGCAAGTAACAAGTGATCTCAAATTCCATCGTCTTGAGAAGCTGGAACAAGAGAGGAACTCGGTAAAGTTGCTATAAATCATTGTCAAGAAGCATCAAAACTAGTAAGCAAAAAGAGGCAAATAAAAGTTGAAATTAATCTTGAAGCATAGTCTGTTCCCAGAAACAGCTGACTGTTCAAATGTTTCAAGAATGTATTTCTTCTATTTGATTGGAAAAATTAATTTTACCAGTCGTGGTACTTGTTTCAGCATTTATCAGAGAGATCTATGGAGGGACTGAACACTTGGAGACATCACAAAATTGTATAATCTCCCAATAAATCATATAAGCAATAGAGAAAAACCCCAATGGCTCTGACCTGATATATCTATGCTCGACACCTACACATGGTATTATGCACTGCACAAATACTGGTGTAGTTGGAACATGATAAAGGAACTTCCATCAATCTGATAGACAGCTGAAAGCCATCACTCTTCCCTTTTGTTATATCCCTATAATTTATAGCATTCCATCTCATTTATACATTACTTAAAATGTTTGTCAAACCAAATAATTTGTCCATATTCTGTCTTGGTGCAAAGGCACGTAAATACACTTAACATTGCACTACGTTTTTCGCTTAGAGATGCAAAATAAAAGGAGACTATCAAGAACTAAAGGCAGGAGTTCAGGTAACAGCTTTGCCCTCTCCTCAAGGTTAAGAGCAGAGCTCTCAGAACCGAAGGTGAAGAATACATCACTTCAAACACTACCCAGTCCTGTGGAAGCCCATTAACTCTACACAAAACCCCTAGGGTTTCTTCCTGCAGATGCTTATACAAAACCACAACACTCCAGTCTAGTTTACCTTATTAACTAAAAGAAAAAGAGTAAGTACATTATTTGTTTTTTTTAAAAAATTTAAAGTTAGAATTCACAAGCCCTTGCCTATTTTCACACATGTGCCTTCAGGAATGAAGCCTCCAAAAAACAAAAAAAACCCCAACCAAACAAAAAAAATAATCATCAAACTTCAGAACAATTCTGACAAGCAAGCAAGAACAGTAAACTCATTTGATGGTTTCAACATAGTTCCCTGGAGTTTTATCTCTGTGACTGTCATTTAACAACACGGCTTTATGTGTTTCAGTTAAGATGAAAGGCTTGAAGTACCCCTACTTCTTCACATCATTTGAAGATTAGAGCAAACAGTTACTAGCAAATACTTAAAGGTCTGTGTACAATCTGAACCAGAATCTACTGAGGTAGGCAGATCAGCTGAAATGCACTTGAGGATTGACCTAATCAGTTAGGCAGTTCAGTTTTTTAGGTTTCTGTAAATTCAAATAACTAAATAAAGAGAAAGGGCAGGAGATCATTGTCCTTTACCAAAATGCTGAAAGTTTCTGTTTCCCTACTTTTCTTCCCCTAAACCCAGCAGAATACAGGAGTAGGGCTACCTTTTCCTCTGGATTCAGATACAAATATAATTTTTCCTGGATTTAGCTTAAGAAAAAGTGTTCTGTGCACAAATACATTTCTTCTACTTTCAGCAGCAAATGCAGGCAATTCCACAGTCCAGGATTTAAAAGCCGTACAGTAAATGTAAAGTTTTTCTCCACACTAGTATCCTTGCAATAAAAAAAAGTGTCAATTTAAGAGTCCAACACAAACACAAAAATGAGTATTTAAAGATAAAGCCCTTTCCAAACCACAAACTATTTAGAAAAGCCATATTTTAGTTTTTTTCCATGAAATAAAAATAAAGCCACTGTCCAACAAACACTCTATGAAAACAATTTTAGAACTGCAACCATGTTAATCCCAGCACCTTTGCAGTTCAAGAAGTTTTAACTGGCAAAAAAGCAAAACTTGTTAAGAAGGAAGATCAGTGCACCCAGATCATTCATCCCCTGATACAAGAAATCTGTTTTCCAATTAATCACCAGTTACAAAAGTAAACAGTGACCCAGAGCACTTTCATGCAACAGTTGCTGGAAATGAGCCATTTATAGTGCCAGAGGGAGCTTCCACAGGAGGTGGTATTATTATTATTATTATATAAATAACCTCATGAGGAATTGTAGAATTATCTGCAGTTAGAAACAGGTAAGTATAAAGCTGTATTTAATTTATATACAGAGGAAAGAAAGCAGAGGTCCTGAAGGAGAATCAGACTCAGAGATCTGGGGGGAAAGGATTAAAAAAAGTGAAAGACTTGGCTTGAAAATGCTTTCTTTTGAGAATAAAGGAGAAAAGCAATGACAACATAGTAAGACCAAATAAGCAAGATGACAGCTGGTACAAAGAGGATGCTGAAATCAGGTTCATAAGCGTAGGAGTTTCAGGGAAAATAAAGCAACAAGAGCAAGAGGTCCAGTGGAAGTTTAGGTACTCATGCCTGGTATTAGATATTCAATCAGGTATCAGACATTACTAGCAATACTGTCCTGCACATAACTCTGGAGCTGACTGAATACAACATACAATAGCATGTGGTTTCACCAGTAAGCATACAGAACAGTTAACCAGAGTTGGTGGTGCTATTGCATAGACAGACTGTGCTTGTAATACCCTGAAAAAAAAGTTTATCTGATACTGTAGTACATTCATTTGCCCAACTACAGATATTGCTGTTCCTTTTGGACTTCATCAAGGGGAACCTGAACAAAACCATAAAACTGCACCTTCATCTCATGTTAAATCTGGCTTCCTCCAACTATTTTTAACACTGATGCTTCTGCTTTGATGATTTGTCAGGTGCTTCACATTGCTGCCCGTTCCACACAAATACACATTCTGCATTCACGCATATCTGATAGTTTCATACCGGATGTATGCTGAGGAGCCAAGTAAATTCTTCTTCTAGTCAACAGGATTGCAACAGAAGTCTTAAACATGAAAGCCAAAATGGCACTTTTTTGTATGAAACACAGTTCTAAAACAATAGATCCAAAAGGTATAAGACATTACCATAAAATTAAAGTCAGTGACATGAAGACCAATGTGTAACCAAACCCACCCCAAGAGCCAAAAGCCTTTACCTTTCTCACCTCTGTAACACCAAGGCTTTCTGTTTCCTCCCTGTTTCTAGAGCACAGCTGCTTATTGCATGCTCCAGCATACTGAAAATCGCATGAGGTAGTAACTGTGTCATCTCAGGTGCTGCCTCCTATTTCTAGCTGAGATCTTCACTAATCAAGATTTCACACGTATGATGTTCTTAGAGCAAGTTTTGGTGGAACACCAAATTTAACTGGGCAGGAGAAATAGTACCACAATACTTAATATCCTTGCCTTCTCCTCTCCCTTTCCCTGGTGTAACTTCCCCTTTTGGAAGCATGCTTATGAAGAAGAAACAGCAGAAAGGATTTTAATCCATCCAAACAATAGTACTTCTGGTGCCGTTAGGAACATCTGAATCATCCAGCTGGGCTAAAAATCACTTAGAGAAAAAACTGTTTTCTGGACTACTTTTTTTGCTCTATTCTCATCTAATCACCTTCCCCTACTTCAAATTCTAGTCTAAAATTGTTTCAAAAATGTTAAGAAGGCACACAAGCCTTTCCCCATGAAGCAGCTAGGATCCAAATTTATCACATCTACCCTCTGATGGATACAGCCTGAAGCACATAATATTGGGAAAAGGTTATTTTCAAACCTGAGGAAGGGAATTATCAACTCTATTTCTGAACTTCCAAACAAAGGTTGAACACAAAAAAGCCTCCTATTAATCTTGACAATTTGTTACCAAAAAAGTGACCAAAATCAATAATGCACCAATGAACTTCTATAGCTGTTCTCCAGGACATACAGTTTCACTACAACAGTTTATTTTGTCTTGTCCAAACCACAAAGCACTCTAGGCATTTAAGCAACATAGATAAATGAGACTTAAGCTGTTTGTTTACAAAGACTAAGAAGAAATATTATACTGCATATTTGGCTACATTCACATTACCTAGTAGTGCAGGCCAGCAGGGAGATCTGCAGGGCAAAGTGGTGCTGGAGAGGCAATGCCCACCCCATATGCATTTCAGGGAGTTTTGCTTCAGATTAGCTTTGCCCTGTGGACTGAATGCCTGTGAGCACGCAGCTGACTGTGCTCTCCAATTCAATCTCACCCAGTGTGCAGGCTTGAGGCGGTGCCAGGACAAGCCAAAAAGTACACAATGGGAAATGACCACCAGAGCTGCTCTCAAAACACTCTCCTGATTCAACACACCCAAGTCGACATACCCTTATGGCATTTTGCAGCCAGGTTGCCAGACACTGCTTGGAAAATCTGATCATTAAAAGTTTACTTCTCTTCAGACCATTTTTATATATAAATCTTGATTATGATCAAATCCTGAAGCTCTTCTCCAGCAGCGTTAACCTAAAACAAGTCGTATGTACCTCAGTGTTTTGTCCTACAAGAATTAAGAAATCATGAAATAGCAATAGATGCACTGTTCAGAGGCTATGTCTAGAGTTCAGCTTTAGCACCACACAGTGCTTTGCCAGCAAAAGCAACTGGCTTACATGGTCAGTTTCCAAGTTTAGAGTGGTGTGTAAGTGGATTTTTTTTAAAAGACATGTGGACACATTACAACTATGTCGGGTGAAGGCCTCACACCAAGTCATAGGACAGGCTAATGAGACTTTATCAGCTAGCAGCTTTCTCTTCTCAGTACCTCAGAGCCAGCCTCAGAAGTAACCATTTTCTAAGTAGGTAGATGAGGATGAATAACAGGAGCCATAGTTCATCGTACAATTGGTATTTTAATATCATTAAATCAGGTTGCTTAAGCAAAACTTGACATAGGCTAAGTCAGCAAAAGTAAGGAAATTATTCTCATATAGCTTTCAAAGTGTAGGAAAATACATAGAATTAAATGTATTTTGAAAAAGAAAAGAAAAATTCAATGCCTGAACTGACACATTTCCACTCCTACCTCACTAGAATAATTTTTAGATCACCTGAACAGCTTTATCTGCTCCACCAGCAAAAGAAAAAAATCAATAAAAAAAATCAACTACACTATCTTTCATTTCAGGATAGGAACATAACAAGGTTTATGAAATAGTGTGGTAACTGCTTAGCCAAGTGCATACACAGCTGTAACAACTCATCATCCGGTGCAGTTTACTGTTGCTTAAAGCAAACAGCAGATGTTTCAAAAACTGAAGTAAGATTTATGCAGCCCACAGGTACGTGGAAAGGACTATGTGGTAGCCTTTTCTCAGTCGTTCAGATTTATGAAAGCTGATTAGATGATACAAAGATGCTTGTGTTTTACAGTAATTCAGGTAGATACTATTTTCCTCCCTAATTTTCTCCAAGAACAAGGATTTGTTCATTTTCAAAGTTCAGAGTATCTGTCTGCAGAGAAACAAGCTGCCTATCTGCAGAGAAAGAGACAAGTATATACAAAGCATAAAAGAAATTTAAATTATTTACTGCAATAGGCTGGCAAAAATGCTGTAAATACAAACTAAAATGGTATTTGCTAGCTGTTCATTCCACACACCAAACTATGACATGGTCACTTTGCAGGGGGAGAACCCATCCCTCCAAGGCTTAGGGGGTACTCTGTTTCATACAACTTCTTCCCTTTTTATTTCCTCTGACAAATTCTTCCTCTGTCTTCACAACTCAAAAGCTAACAGTATTTACACCCACCACTGCTGCAGATTAACTACATGCCATATACTATAGCTCAGCTAATGCAAAGTAAACATGTAAGTGAACTTGCTTGTTGGAGTCCTAAGTCTGCCACTCTTAATGGGGTCATGCAGAAACACTGAACTTGGGTATAAGTTTTAAAATCACTTTTTCACAACCACATCACAAAACAGAGAAAAAGAAAAAAAAGAAGCAGAATGAAGTTGTCAGGTCTCAGGTCATTGACTTCTGAATAAAATTCAAGAAAGGACACGCTTTTGTTTCTCCCCCTTCCACCAGTAATTAGACATCAAGCAGTGCTTCAGATGTTTGCCCTAGGAGCTGGAGATGCAATAATTATATTGCTTACCAGCCATAACAGAGACTTGTAGGAATTTGCTTTCTAATCACTATGAAAATCACATTGACAGATAAATTATCACAAATCCAGCTGCGACAGGACACAATTTATATCCTCAGAATTTCTTATTAAACTTCAGCTTCCCTCATGAAATTAGGATGATGCAGCATAACTACTCCCATCTAACCAGATGTGAGAGAATATAGTCTTCAGTTGAAAAAAAGCCAAAACCACAAGCAAATCTGCAAGAATCTTACAAAAAAAGGATTATTGGAGAATATAGTTTTTTCACTCTAAATCCCCCTATTTCACTGCCATTGTTACAGATATAATTACTAAGTGATAATGACAGATGATAATAGTCTCTTCTCAGGCAGAAAAGACTGTCAGGTTAACTCTTAAAATTAGTTAGTGCAGTTCTTTGCTTACTAAAAGCAGGGGTCAGCTTCTGCATGTGACAAAAGTTTTTCACCAAGCAATTCAGGACTAGTGTTGTTCTTGTGATTTCATCTTTTAATTAGCAGGCAATATTTGAATTTATTTTAAGTACCAAGTGCAACACCAACATTACATGACTATTTTGAAGGAGAGTCTAGGTCTTGACAAAAAGTCTGAAAAATATTAACCACCCTGAAATTTATTTATTTTTCAAGAGCACTGAAAACTAATTTTAAATGTGTTAATAAGCTCAATTCAAATACTGTAAAAGCACATTAATGTAATCAAAACCTAAAGTTAAAACAGTTTTTCATATTACGATCTACATTCATGAATGATTCACTAAGAATGTGCAGCTGGTGAATAATATGCTTACACACATCCTTGTGTTCTACTTTTATGTGTATCTATAGAAACAGACAACCCCCCTCAAACTGTATATTCCAAAAACAAGCAAAAAAAAGTCTCAACTGCTTCTCATTATCATATGCTGTGTACCTTAACATAATGTCACATGCATATGCTTGGGAGGTCTCATTTCAATTATCCTATGAATTTTACGACATCACACAATAGTTGCATCCAATGTACAATGACAGTCAGAAGCCATCTAGTGCAAGTTAGACAAAGCAACTTTGAAATGCACAATTTTAAGCTTTGGAATTGGAAAGCATGGAAGTTATATTGACAGCAATTAAGTCTCCAATGAAGCATGATAAATTTGTGTAATTCTTCACCAATAAGAGTATTGCTATTCCCGCAGTTTTGAAAGAGCTGTTCAGCAACTGTAGTAGATCTAAGGAGTCCCAAACTGATGCATCCACTGATTTTAACACTTCTCATTCACTATTTCAGCTCTGACACCTTCAGAAATCAGAATCCCAGCTAATTTTGATGAAACTAATTTCAGCCTCTTCTGGTTTTTAGGTTGCTTTTACTATTTAAATGCATATCTACATCAGGACAATTCATACAAACTTGCTACTTCACTGCAGGTCCATTGGTACGGTTTTCATCCTGATGCTACTTGACTAGGTCAATACTGCAGCCCCTTCTTGCTACAGTTGGCCTTACCAATTTTGCAATAAGAGCTACCTGTGCTTTTTGTCACTATAACCATACATTGAGAAAACTGGAAAGTGAGGCAAGTTTACACTAGCCTAGCAAATATACAGCCTTATTGTTATTTAGGCTAATATATTAAAAAAAAAAAGCTGATTAGTATATCGTAATATACTGATAAATTGGCTGGTTTTAATCCATAGGTTTTTAACTCTACTCCTATTTAGAGGTGTAGAAATTAAGGAACTCCAACATTCTCCTTTTAGTCACTAAACACTAGACTTTTTTTTTTTAATCACTGCCTCCTCAACAGGAATAAATGATTCCTGGTCAGCTGTACAAGAAATAACTTGTTCCATTTCTTAAGTCACACACACCTCGAGAAAAGTTTACACATCTGTACTACAGCCAGTGAAAATATACTCCATTCTTCTATAATACAAGCTGATGAAACCAAGATGCTTCTAATTTACTAAAGCCTTACATGAACAGCAGTCAAGAAAAAAAAATAATCCAATAGGTGGCAGATGTGTATTTCTTTGCTTATGACATCTAAAGATGTCCTAAAACTACCTAGAAGTTTTAGGTGATCTAAACCACGAAGTTTTACTTTTGGATTTCATGGTTTTGGTTATCAGATATTTAGATTCTATGCAACTTCAAAAGGCCAATAGTGAGAGAACCAAGGGTCAGGGCACACACAAAAAATTTATACTAGAAATTAGTGGTGGCCTGTTAGCTCCTCTATGACAGCTACCCAATGGTACATTCCTATCCATCATAGCTATGTAGAAACAGGTAGCTTTGTGAAACACATCAGATGTTAGGCTAAGCTCTCTTACATCTCCCATGAAAAAGATACACAGGCTATACACACAGCAGTGACGGTATCATCAGATTCCAGTCTCTTAAGGTAATTTGTTTGAATTCCATACAAAGTGAAACTGAACCATGAGAGGTGAAATCTGAGAAAATGAGAAAGCAAGTATTGCTATAAATGTATAGGAAGACCACTATGAACTTTTCTCTGATAAAAATGTTAAAGTTTCTATTCAACATCTTTAATAGTCGAAGACTCGGCATCACCAACTCTTAAGCAAGACGACAGACATGACACATTACAACAGAGGTTATTTAGCAGGTCCTACCCTTTTAATAATTAAAAGCCACACGATCAAAAAGCAGCAAAAAAGCCTTTAAAAATGCTTCTATATTGTTTTAGGAGGAATCTTCCCTTTAATTTCCATTCTAACCTCAGTTACATTAAAGCCTGTAAGTTATACAAAACACAGCTCAAGGCATGAATGAACTGTAACAGGAAAAAAAACCAATGGAAAACTCAAGTCTCATTTACCTACCTGTCCTTGCTGCAATGAGATGTGTTGCTTTATCAGGATCATCAGCACTCAGTACTAGATTCTTCACAATTTTAGCTCCAAGTGCTGTGGCATGATAGTGTTCCCGTGTTTTCTCAATGGGGAAGTTTGTTGGGTAGAGTCCGCTAAATATTATGGTTACATCTGCCAACACTTTACTTTTCAGTTCTGGTACTATTTTTCTGATGTCTGGAATTTCCTCAATCTCTTTTTTCAGGTATTTATCATACTTTGTATAATAATCAGTATGAACTCGCACAAGGATCTCTTCGAGGTATATTAAATGGTCATCATCATCTGTATCATCCTCCTCCTCTTCTTCCTCCATACTCTGGTCTAAGGACTCACCCATTGTAATTCCAGATTGTTCACTATTCTGAGACTCTGTTTCAGCTTCTTTCTTGTCTGCACACCCATTTCCTAAATCACAAAGGCTTTCCTGTTCACTTTCTTCTTGTGCTTCAAGATCAGTTTTGTCATGAATATTTTCACTCGGTAGAGATTGCATGTCCCCAGAATGGTTCACCAGACCATCCTTTTTCTCACTCACATCAGTGCAACTCTCTTTCTGCAAATTTTCATCCTGCAGAAGTTGTTTGGATTTCTTCCAGCTTCTCTTTTCCTCGTTCTCACTATCTGATACAGAAGTGGATGACTTTCTGGTGTCCAATGCACCATCACTTTCACTGTCACTAGACAGTTCAAAGTCCAAGTCATTTGTTGTCTTGTCTTGGGTTTGCTGCTTGTCTGTCACTGTTCTATCAACTTGTTCTGAAAAAATCTGAGATTCTTTTGTATTTGTCAAATCATTAGTGACCTCACTGTCCGTTTTGTGATCGGCACTATCATTTAAGGAGTCCTGGACATTAACTTTATCATGAGAGTTCATATCCCAGTCAGATGTTTCACTGCTTACAAAAGTACTTCCATTTGCAGTGCAAGGGTCCTTTGTAGCTTTCTTGAGACCATTGCTTTGTTCTTCTACACAAGTAACATTCTTTATTTCTTCAGCATCTTTTGCTGATGTCACTGCCGAATCCAGTGCCTCTGGTTTTGTAGAGTGGTTTACTAAGGCACAGAAAAGAAAGAAATAAAATATATACACATTTTATCTTTTTTTTTAAAATCTTAATCAAAACCTAATTTTCTTTTTCCTTAAACATACAGTTTACAAGTGCAGTTAGACTTCACTATATTTAGAAGTGACAACCAGGCTTTTCAAAGTTTTTAAGACACTTTGGGTGTCAACTATTACTAGAAAGAACTGGCAAACTAACAAACTTTACTTTTGTAAAGAAGCTGTGTAAGCAGATTTTTTTTTTTAAATCATACAGGGCATAAGTAATTATTTGTTAACTATGCCAACATTAAAGGCAAATATTTATCTTATAGCATGAAGGCATATACCTGGAGGCAATCGTCATTGCCCAAGTCTGTCATTATTCACAAAGTCAAGAAGACAGTCTCATCAATTAGTAGATGAGGCATGATGAAGCTCAACCTTGAGAATAAAACCAGTTTTGTAGGGTGCTCCTTCTGTGATTAATGTATTCTGCTGAAAGCGATGACATTTATAAGAAATGTAAGGAAAGCATCATTTTCTTGTAGAAATTAAGCTTGGTATAAAAAAAAAAAAAAGGCTAGACATTAGGAAAAACTTCTTCACAGAAAGGGTTGTCAGGCTCTGGAATGGGCTGCCCAGGGAAGTGGTCAAGTCCCCATCCTTGGTGGTATTTAAAAGAAGGATAGATGAGGTGCTTAGGGACATGGTTTAGTGGTGGGATGGCAGGGTTAGGTTAAAGGTTGGACTTGATGATCTTAAAGGTCTTTTCCAACGAAAGCGATTCTATGATTCTACGAATTTTACAATTACATCTCCGGGCAATGAAACTACTGCAGAGAAGGAAAACAAAATAGGGCAGAATTCGCTTTAGAAGATCCCAATCCAGAACTACAACTACAAGAACTTCCTTTATAAAATTCCATGGCTTTCATATATTTCCTATTTTTTATAACCAAAACAACTGTATTTTAATAGTTGAGAGATATACATGTTTTAGCAATACAGAGATGCTACTCGAGGTTCTTTTGAGACTCTGATAGAATTCAAGTAAAGGGTAATAGACTCAAAGGCAGAGAAATAGTTTTGGATGTGTCTTCAGATGTCTGCAGAAGAGAGGGACAATTAGAGAAGCTGTAGACATACAGAAACCTGCACAGACATTCATCAGGAACACTGGATGAAGTCACCCTACTTTGTCTCTCTTTTGTGTGCATGTCCCTGCCCTGCAAGTAGCAATACCAGTCAAGCATTGAGGTCCCACATCATAGTGGCCTGATTCAGTCTGAGTACATTATTATTGTTTCCATATTGGATGTCTGTAGTTCAACAAGGGGGGAAAAAAAAAGTGTGTCATAATATATTGTTTAAAAAAACCCTTGGCTAAACTGGAAAAAACTGCAATTCTTTCTTAGCCTCTGTCTTTCAAATACATTTTGCCCCCAAATTAATGCTAACATTGTGATGTACACCTTCTAAATCTGCTATTTATACTACGCTGCTGAGCCTGCTCAACATAAGGTTCTTGTGTCAAATGCCAGAACACCACATTCAGTAGACACTAAAAATCCCACATCAATTTGATTAGCATGATTTAGGCAGGAAGGTAAGCAGAAATCAAAACATTCATTTTCAGCAGTATGTTGAAACCAGAGTTTATTAACTATTGCTTGAAAGTGGGACAGTGAAGGGGACTGAAAGGAGAAAGAAGAGGAAGTTGGTTCCCTGACCACCTAGAGAAAAAAAAGCCTTGTTTTACATGGAGGAGGGAAGAGAGAAGCCATCCTCCTCTACATGTTATTGAAGAATTTGGTGTATTGCCACATCAGCTCTCCAGTCATAACAGCCAAAATGCTATTACCAGTACTCCCTCCACTTTCACTGTGGTTGCCCACCAAAAGGAAAGCTATCAGTAGGTCAGTTTTACTAAGCTACTAGCATTTGTGCTGCAGGAGCACTCTGTCAACTACAACAGTCTAGGATCATTCACCTGAGCACAACAGCAATACTAGTAAGACAACCATAATGACTCACATGAATCGCATTTGAGGAGTAGAAAGAGTTACAAAAGCAGTTTAAAAACTATATCATTACCTTTCTTCTTCATTTGAATTTCCCTTGATCCAGGAGGTGCATTAATATCTCCTATCCCCTGAAAGTATACATATTTCTTCACAGTTATCAAATTGGGTGCAAACTTCCAAACATCCTCTCTATCATCAATGATGCACACCATGGAATCCCCACATGGGAAGAGATCTCTAAGAGACAAAACAGTTGGTAAAATTAATACCATCAATGAAAGTTTCTGTTGATGTTCTCGTTTATTAATTACGAGCATGTCTGCTTATATATGAATTTACAAAAAAAAAAATCAGCAATATTAAAGTGACAGAATTAAAAATACAATATTCAAACTAAGTAAAGTTAATAAAGAAAGGAAACAGCTATTTTAAAATCTCTATCCCAAAGGCTAGAACTAGGAACCAACAAGCCTTTCCAAGAACAAAACAGTACAAAATTTCGGTCTGGTTTTCACAGTTTATGTCAACGAACAGCACAAAGGCAACTATCACATGGACAATACACTTTCTATATATAACTATGAAAAAGACACAAGAACAGTTTTTAAAGAGTATACTCATTCAATCTAAGACAAAGGAAGCAAAAAGTACCAATACTTATGTCACCCAGGCAGAGGAGGTAAAGAAGATAGACACATGCATATGAACATAGAGCAAGAGAAGAAAAAAGCTTCTCATTTCCTATGGTCAGATGGGGAGGGGGCAATGATTTTTAATCTAATTTTATGAAATATTAAACATATCTGTCTTTTAGAAAAAAATCTTGGCTTTATACTCTGAAAAAGATCAGAACCTGAATTTAGACTAGAATATGAATTCAAGGCTCTAGATGACCTAATTTCAAGACACACTGCAGAACAGAAGTTGCTAGATATATAGCACATTTAAAGCCAGAATACTAGAAATTAAAATATAAGTTAACCTCAAACTGAAATTTTGCTTTAATTAAAAAATTCACAACATTCAAGTCTTTATACAAGATCACAATCCATAAAGTGGAAATATGGTTATTACAAGAATGAAAAGTGTAAGAGAAAACATGATGCCATTACTGTACATTCTTACTGTTCTAGTACCACAGAACACATTAAGTAGATGAAATGCTGCAATACCCAACATCTCAGTTTTACTGAGAGGGTGTTGATATTTAAGAGGCAGATAAGGAAGGACTATAAACATGTTAAGGGAGTAATTTTTATTATATTTAGCATATTCTGTCTCTCTGTTGTCCTGTTTTGTTTAATGCATAAGACCTATACACATACCTAAGATTCCCAGTTTTAGAAAATGGATCGATACATTCATCCCTTGACAATATCCGATGGGAAAAAAGCTTCTTTTCAGGGTCCAAAAATCCTTTTAAAAGAAGAAATTAAGAAGTTAATGTTCAAGATGTTTGTTCCTTGTTTATGTTCAATACAATTCAGCTATTTTAATCTGTGCAACAGCTTAACTAACAGACAATTTCAAGGTAAGAGATACTATAGGGGGGAAAGGGTAAGCACAGTGGATCAAATATTTGTAACTAATGCAGTGGGATTAATTTTAAAAATCCCATCTCATTATTTCAACATGGCAATAAAATTGAAATTAAAATAAATTTGTGACAGCCAAATAAATTAGGCTGAAAGAGATACAGCAGGTAATAGATATACATGATTTTTGCAACTTACATTATCTTTCTACAGGTGGTTCTTTAAAGCTAAATGCTCTCCTTAGCTCATTATGCCTAGGGACTGCAGAGAAGTCTCACAAGAGTCGGCAATGTGCTGCAATACTTAAGCACAATGGGCAAGTTAAGGGACAGTTTCAGCCGGAGCTCTTGCATTTGTAGGTTTTAAGTTGTACCTCTAACAAATACTTTAATACATTTACATATAACAAACATATCCTGGGATTCCTAGAAATATTTAGGCCCAGTTGCAGTAACTTTTCTGACTGTGTTCTTAAAAAAAAACCAAAACCAAAAACAAAACAGGAGAAGCTGTGCTAACTGATCTTCAAGCAAGATAAAATGCCATTGTTTAGGAAAATGGTGACCTGGGTGTACAAACACACATGCACATGCTTCTGAACCTAGCCTCCAATAATGAAGTTCATCTTCACGAGCAGATCACAGCCACATAATTGCTTAGAAAAAAACTGGCATTTTACATGCTAATCTGAATTTTTCACTTTACTGAATTTGTGTTGAATTTAGCATCAACTTCTCATTATTCTTATGAATAGTACAAGGCAGACAATAATTACCTGGGAACAATTTTTAAAAGTTTTACTTTATTTCTAACAGTGGCCATCTTATAGCCAGAACCAGAGTTCAAAGTCACTACAGGCTCTAAGGACCAACTTTAATTTTCTTTCAAGGAGCTTTGAGATTTGCACAGAACATATGTTCAACTCCTTTTAGAAATCCAGCTCCCAGGACTTCTACAGGTACATTAAGTTGGGTCTACAAAAACGGAGGGTATAGATTAAAAAAAAAAAAAAATCAGTCACCACTTCTGAAAAGCTGATCCTGTATGTATTTAATATTAATGTGTAATTGGAATAACTTAAAACCCATAAAAGCAAGAAAATTCCGAGTTAAGGACAGAGGTTCAACCTTAACTCACCCGACTATGCTTAAGAATTGCTGCAAACTCGTAGAATCATCCCCTGTAGTGAGACCCTTGCAGTACCTAGGCATAATGAATTGAAAGAATTAGCTACAAAGATTTATTGCCATACACACAGATATGTTGACAAACTACATAAGCTGTCATACAAGTTGCTGTTCTCCCCAATCAAATTCTCTTCTACTAATTATCTCAATACACAGGGACTCTCTACACTAAATTGGACAGGAGTGCACTGATTAACTAGCAAAACCACAATAAGGCATTCAGTTGCAGCATTGTCTAGCTAAAACTGTAAGAAAAGGAAGTTGAACTACAAAAGCCCAAACACAGAAGCCCTGGCTGCCAGGGATAAGAGATGAGGTAATGTTCTGGAGCTTTTCAATAATGCTTTGGTAAAGACTTATTAATTTTAATACTTTTCCCCCCTTGATAATTCACTAAAAATACACTGAGAATACACCTCATCAGAGATGCAGCTGCAAAGCCCATCTTAAGAGTCAGGTCTTTCAAAGCTAAGCTACTTGGATAGCAATATGGAAGATGGCACTGGTCTTTTAAAGAAGTTCTTTACATGTCTTAAACTGTTTGGTTTCTTTTAGATGTTGCCTAGCCAATAGAATAAATACAACAGACCTAATCCTGATGTTTTCACATTTCAGGGAAGTGACAGATAACAATTCATTAACCACAGATAATTTGTTTTCTTCAGTAATATGTTAATATAGTCTTTAAGTCTTTGAAAAGGCTATATTGGCTTTTCACTAACCTATTTAGTGATTCTACTCCATGCAAGAGTAAACAAGACATCTAGTAGATAGATCACATACTGTTAGTTAAAACATAAACTTTTAATTGATTTATGATTGCAAATAGAACATAGTCTGAAGAAATAAAAACTTTACATTAAAAATAAGTAGATGCAGATATGCCCTCCAAGATAAAAATAAGTAAAGGCTAATATTTAACTTCTTTATTAAAAAATAAAGTCATTATTATACTGCTTTCAGTAACAAAAAGAACTAGGAAACCCTCATTATGAAAAACTCTACCACCTTCAAAATAAGTCTTTTCACAACCTACATTTTGAAAGATTTAGAATTTTGTGATAGCACACTGTTTGGATATTAACCTTTAATAATGAAGCTGCACATTTCAAATGGATGATACCTTCCAAAGTATTGGTGGCTTTTTCTGTAAGAAAAGTCAATGCAGACCACCAAAAAAATCAGCTGTTTAGATGATGTCACTCTTCAGTGCGGGCATTTTGTTGCAAGTTTCTGTGATTGTGGAGCCATGAAAAGGTCTATGTATAAATTCTTCGAGTTTACAGAAACAGCAAAGTGTTCCTGACACGTGCACTTAGCTTTGTTTCATTTAATTATTTATTTCTATCTATTTCCCACCACCATATCCTGAAAAATTATTATGGTCAGTTTGCTGCTTTTGAGAATGCATTTTTTTTTTCTTAACAGATTTTTTTTTTAATTGGAGAAGTATTACTTTGCACAAATTATTCCAACAGAAGGATAAATGTTTATGAATTTCTCATTTTGTAAGCATGTTTAAAAAAATTAAAGCCTTTTGTAGAAGTGAAAGTGATTGAAGACAAAGACTTGCTGTTCCAGATCAAAACTGAGCTTCCATTTATTCTCATAAATGAGACAACGTGCTAAGCATGCCTCCAAGTAGTTTCTTGAACAAACCAAAACCACTATCATTATCCCTTGACTGTCATATTACGAGGGACTATTCAGTCGATTTATCTAGCAGAGATTATTCCCCTCAGTTGCACATTTTCCAGTATCTCAGACTTGGTCTTTGTGCATACAGTCTTATCAAGCTCTGTTACCTGATCTCATATAGACTCTCTTAGAAAAGCAAACTTGTAAATAAGACTTGTAAAGTTAATAAAACATTACAAGACACAATGCTCAAAACTGACTAACTCATATAGGGGAAGTCTCAAATCCTAGAGACAATTCCTAGAAGAAGTGATATAACAGTAGGATCCAACATGAATTTGAAGAATTCATTTTAAAAATAAATCTAGAATTTAATTTCTGAAGAATCAGGTCACCTCCAGTTCTACTTCAGGTCCTACTTTAGAATCTGGAAAGAGCTATTGACCCAATCTTTCAAAAGCATTGAAGACCTTCAGACACTGATGATTACATATATGCACATAGTCTGACAATTATTTATGGAAATACATACTATAATATACTTGCTATAATAAGCCATAGATATGAATGCCCTCAACTTAGTCCTACTTTCAAAATTTCACTACTAATCTTAAGAATGATTTCACATTGCATTATTGTTGTCTAATGGCCTCTGAACTCAAAATTCACAGTGGCTTTTACAACCAGCATTTAAGCTGACTTCAGTATTAAATACACCAAACTTCTCTTATGCAGAATAGGGGAAAAAAAGAAGTAACAACTGGTCAAAATAATTATGTGGAGAAATACTGTAGGAAGCTCTAGACTATAAAATCCAAAACTCATCTTCATAAACATACTATAAGATACTACTTCAAAAGTGTGTCAAACCAAGCAAGGGTTTAGGATAAATTACTTCAGCAGACATAAATGGTGTTTACAAATATCAGCTAATTCCACTTAACAGCTGATAGGAGTCAGCTGGGATGAGAGAAAAAAAAAAAGGAGTGACAAGATGTCATCTGTTGGCAAAATGAGGAAAAAGCCTTCCAGGACATGGAAGGTGCAGCTCAGAGTTCAGATTTCACAAAGAAATATAGGATGTATACAGAGGACCTAAGAAAACAACCTTTTTCTTATGAAAAAGATTCCTGGGATTTTATCACAAGTCCTTCCTTTATATAACATGGTTCGGTATTTTACCGTTATCCCTAACAGCTCTCTGCAAGAAGTCATTTAACCAATACTGCCATCAAGCGTTCTCTATATGTGTTAGCTATGTATTTCTGTTACTGGATCTTGGTTACACAGCTGACTATGTGGACCAAAGGCTAGATTGTTCTCCATACCAACATATTTCAGCTGGAACTATCACCACCACCATACAAGTAATCCACTTGTAGGTTGAATGCTTTTGAAGAGGTTAGACAGCTTCAGACAAAAATCCAGAAGTCTGGGGATGTCAGAAAGCAGCAATACCCTAGTTTGCTCATTTGGTGGCTTTTTCCTCTACAGAACAGATGGAGCAGCTCAAGTATGATGCCCACAAAAAGGCTTGTCACATTATAAGTATCAGACCACACCAGCATGGGGACTGCAAATTTTACGTAATCCAAATTAAAAATCAGAGATTAAAATCAGCAAACGCAGGACCAAATCACACAGAGAAGATCAATCATTGGGGAAGCCCTTACACATCATGAGTTAGCTACCTCTGCAACTCACTCTTCTCCCTGGCTCTGAAGCATATTTGCTATATGTCTTCTGACCTTATCTGGTATACAACTTCTGACCATAGGCCACAGGCAGATTTTGACACAAAACCTAAACACCTGGTAGTAAGAAAACCATTTGCCTTTTGCTACACAAGAAACAACCACACTCTAAAGAGGACAGCAGGGTACAAAAAGTGTTAATGTATTAGCAGTACACAATGTATAATCCAACAGTGAGACTGGCAAAGCTTTAGAAAGATTCCTCAAACAACTCCGCCAATAAATATTGAATAATATAGAAAGGTTCACTTAGATGGGACAGGACATGCCTCTCCTGAACTTTCTTTCAAGAAGAATTACTTGGAGACTGCAAATATGTATTGTTTTATGATTACAGAAGTCTCTTATGTTTGTCATTACAAGGTGGCTTATTTAACATGCATAAAGAATTCTCTAATCACACAATTATTTTCTAGGCTATTCTAGAACTAACTAGGCTGGTTAGCTCTCTTAACTATTTTGGAATCTTCCTTTCTTGCCAAGAAGAGGGATCACCGGACAGCATTGCTCAAGGCACTTGTGGCAACACGGCACAAAAAAAAAGCAGATATGAAAGACAACTTAAAAAAAGCTAGGAGACATGGAACAGCAGCAAGGACAGTTTGACATGCAGAATCGTAACCTAAAACATTGTTAATTATATTGTCGTAGCCTGACAGACTTAATAAAGGGAAGTCTGAGATGAAAATACTATTCTGTCAAAGAAGACTCAAGATGGGGTGAAAGACAATTTTACAGTTTAAACACATGGTCACACTCCTAAATATGAATTTGACCCATATGCTTGCATAACAGAGTAGGTTTCTTTTATACTTGTTGGAAAAAAGAAAACATTTCAGCCAGTGACACCATAGACTACTATTGCTATAATATAAATGCAAGTTACTAGGAGAAAATATTTAAGTTCTGAAAAGAATATTTTAAAATACTGCTAGATCTGTGGTTTTCCTCAAATAAGAACATCTCAGCTCCAGGACACAAACAGAACTGCTGCACATTGATTTCTAGCAGCCAAACTTCCTTTGGTGGAAGGAAAGAGCAGGGGAAGGGGTTCCCACAGGAGGAGATAATTTCATATTGTTGATTTTTATGGAACTGTTGCTTTAGATTTCTAAGACAAGTGATGTTGCAGATCATTTTTAGAGCCCATCAGCATAATTTCTTACTTAATTCAATAGGAAGGCACTAGTTATCCTGCCACAATCTGATTCTCTAACCATCAGGGAAGCAAAAAAAGCACATCTGATGGGAAAAAAGGATTATTTCTAAAATTACAGGCCATACAGTTACTGCCTTGTAAAGGAGCCAAGAACTCTGCTTACAGGACTATTTAAGAAGTGTTTTTGTACAAAACAGAGCAGATACTTGAAAACAACCACAGAAAGAAAACTAGTTATAATTATGTAATCAGCTTTCATACTCATATTGTTAAATGTAGCATACTACTCACCTGCAATTGTATGTGCATACAGTCTGCTGCCAAAAGTAAAAACGTGTAATTCATACAGCTTGGCAATTTTTTCCAGGAATTCCTTACAATGAGGACGCAAACGAGTATGCAACATTGGCTCACCTCGACCTAACTGGAAATGAAATATTCCCTAAAAGAAAAAGCATGTTTCATATTACCAAAATACCAAACAAAAATGCCAGCATTCCAGAAGCACCCTCTTCCATCACTTCTACTACTTTTATCTGGTCTGACTAGGCTAAAGCAAGTTTCAGTCACAAATATTATGTGGATGAATAAAATCCAAAGCACATTTTTGCCCTGTGCCAGGCAGTCCAACACTATGTTTTTCAAATGCAGGAAGCTGCACTGTTTATGATCAAGGTAACTTTCATTCAAATCTTTACGTATGACAAACCAATCTGAAAAAAGCAACTTGTGAAATTTCTCAGAAAGTTCAGGATCTCACTCCAATCAGTACTATTCAGTGAACTTCACTCAGATTAGTTTCACTACATATTGAGTTCAGAGAAAGACTTCGTTGGATGAAAAAATATTATGTCTATAGAAACATGCCATCAGATAGCAAACCAGGAAGGAAGTTTGCAGATAAAGATCCCAGTTAAAAACCATAAATCTTTTAAAAAAAGTTTTGGCTTTTTTTTTTTTTTTCCCAAACCCATGCACTTATACAGATGAAGACATAGCCTTTCAAATACACAAGGTTTTTTAATCTTTAAGCTGAGTATTCACCGTTCTCTTTCCTCTCATTTGCAAAGTACATTTACAGCTTGTTTTTTTCTAGCAGGTGTGAACACATGCTGAACCTACCGGACATGAGAGAACGGCAAGAGGAAAGAAAGAGGAACTAAGCAACTGCAGTTTGCGTGACACTGGAGTTTGAATTTGCATCCTCTTGTACAAGACAACGTGGACACATTCCAACATGCTTCTGTTTTAAAGTTTCCAATTTGGAAACATTACAAGCCAACAGTACCTATCAGCTCAATGACAAATGTTTCACAAAGAAATTAAACAGCATCACCCAAACCCCACCCCCAAAACCCAAAACTGAAATAAAAAAAGAAATCACTAGACATATTCATGGAATGACAGACATAATAACACGTAGGACTTCAAACAGTAATTCACTATACCCGCCTCAGATTTGGAGGGGAAAAGAGTACTCGGCTTGTGAATTGTAGAGGAAGGAAAGCAGAGATTAAAAATAGCTACCTGAAGCTTCTCACTTAAAGTGACTGGAATGGAAAAGTGCAGGAAAGCATAAATGGAAGAAAGAAAAACATCAATTTAAATGTAGAGAAAAAAGGAATATATTTCAGAAGACTTGTTTCTCACTTTCTGTTATTCTTCAACTACAATTTTACCTAGCCACAAAATGTTTTCTTTAAGAACCATCATTTAAATATTGTTAAAAATGTTGTTGCTTTGGCTTGAAAGCTAACACCAAATACTTACCTTATTAGACATCTGTTGGCAGTGCTGTTCTGTAGTATGGATCAATGTCTGGTCCAAATCTACCATGAGCACCAGTTTTCGATTTCGATGTAGTCGCTGTTGGTCTTCCCTTCCTAGCTGCTCAGCTTGCTGCAACAAAATATTCACAACTAAGCTCAGCTTAGAAGAAATAAGTTACATTTATTGCCCTTTGTGTATTGTAAACATGAGAAGTTCCGCTACAAACTAACTGCATAAGAAATGATGCTTCAATGTAACTGTAGTGATGGCAGCTTTGTCATCAATTTTTCTACAGAAAAAAATACTTTCAAAGTCTACTTTCAGATCTTTGACACTGGTAACTCTTAAAATTGATAAACTCAACACAACAACTTCCAAATTTAATAAATAACCAACCACCAAATTAATTTAAGAGAGCAAATAGCAGTACCTTTGACGTACACAAAGGACAAGTTCATCAGTAGGTCTGAAAACTTCAGTTGCTACGTTGAGCAATTTTGTATCAACTAGGTAAAATACGGCTGACAACACTAGGCCGAGTATAAAACTGAAAGCTGCTGATCACAGAAATAACTGTCAACCTGATCTTAAAGAATACATGCCTTCAGACAAAAACAGATTATGTAGTTATATGTGGGCACTGATATCAAAGACCTTATACTCCAGTAAACCTGAGTTGAAGTTTACTCCTCTTGTGCGTATTTACAAACTTTTAAAGTACATTAAGTTCTGTGTTCACTTTAACAACTTGGGATAGCAAGCTGCAGTGTTAGTTAAACTTAAAAGCAAAGTTGTTTTGTGGGTAAGTGCAGCATTATGAAGAAGCAAGGAGTTTCAAGTGCAAATTGCCCTTTGAAATGCTCTTCTATGATAAGGACACTTCTAGGTGCTTGTATCTTCACATTTCTTCTCATTGGTGTTCTTCAAAGAGTTGCCAAAAAAAGCAAGCAGCAACATAAAAAGGTAAAAAAAGATCAAGTTGGTAAGGAAGATAAATAGCATGTTTATCTTAAAAATAAACAATCCTTTTTCTCTAAAGAAACTGAGGGATGAACAAGCATATTTTGGTAATTCAGCTAAATGGAATATTTGAAAAATAATGAAATAAATTTAACATACAGGTAAGTTGCAAACAAACTAGCTTTACTATAGCTAGTGGGACCAATTGCAAGATGAAGAGTGAAGCTAAGTTTCAAATACGTTGCAAGCTTTGAACACATTTCAGCTAGTGGAAGCTGAACTTTCCGCAAACTGCTCATTCTTAGAGAGAAAAGCATTAAAGTAGTAAGTTTTCATGCTGCTGTCACAGCATTGCCATCTCTTCAGTGCACAGCTCTAAAAAAACCACTATAAAACCTGGTAACAATCAATCTACATTAGGGTAAACACACAAAACCCTTGGCTACTGATGTTCAACACCAAATTCCTCTTCAAAGGGAAGCCAAACTTTCTGTATGAGGTATATACAACATTGAAGCAACTCCTTTAATTATGCTTCTCAACTGCAGAGCTACAGTGAAAGGTATCAACAAAGAAAGCATAACGGTACTTACCTCAGAGCTAACTTTCAGTTCTGGGACACTGTGAACCATAGACACAGTTGCTGTGGATAACGGCACATTCTGCTTTCCATTCTTGCTTCGTATCCTAATCACACAGGGAAAAGAAGCATCAAAAGAGGGAGTAATAGTTTAGTGAAAAGTTGAACACACTAAAATCTGTAGTATCAATCTAGTCACCATCAAAAAGCTATGATTAAAAAGAGCTATTTTGACTAATACACTCTT